AATAATGATAACAAAAACAACAAACAACAACAGCTACAATTTCAACAACAAAAACAACAACAACAATAATGATGATAAGAACGACAATAATAGTAATAACAATAATAATTATTACAACAATCATCAAAAAACAATAATAATGATAATGAAAATAATGATATTGATAATAATGATGATGGAAATAACAAGAATATCAGTAATAATCGTTTTTATGATAATGATGATAATAATAAAGATGATAATGATAATGATTACGATAGTAATAATAATGATAATAAGTATATTAATATCAATGAATAATAAATGAAATTGATGATAATGATAATGATAATCATGATGATGATTATCATGATTATTATTATTTCTATTAATGATAATGATAACAATAACAAAAAATAATAGTGATAATAAAAATTATGATAATAATAGTAATGGTAATAGTAATGATAACAATAATAATGATAATGATAATGACAACATTAATGATAATGATGATGACAACATTAATGATAATGATAATAGTAAAGCAAGTATCAATAATAATATCCACGGCAATGACAATTATAATGATGATAATAATCATTATCATTATTGTCATCATCATTATTGATGTTATCAGCACCATCGTTGTCTTATCTATATCTTTATATTTACACTTTCCATTTTCATTATTACTATTCTCTTATTGTCATCACCATTATCACGAGCATCTTTATGATTACTTTCATAATTACTATTATCATTATCGTCATTATCAGAATTTGTATGAGTTGATTCTGAACCTTCGCTCATTCTGCGTCGTCTCAAAATAGAAACAGACAGACAAATAAAGGAAAAAAATCGCAGAAATATAATGCTTTTGAAATGCATCACAAAACTGATCCCATTACAACTTTCCGATATTTCATTTTCATTTTTTAAAATGCGGTGTTTTTCTTTCCTTTTTATATGTATATATTTTTATTCTCAAAACGGATGAATGTATTAAACTACATAAATATCAGAGGAAAATTCATTCTGCATGAAATAAAGAAGCCGGTGTCATTATCATTATTGCATATATATATGTATATTATATATATATTATATATATATATATATATATATATATATAATATATATATATACTATATAATATATATATATATATATTATATAATATATATATATATATAATATATATATATATATATATATATACTATATATATATATATATGTACATATATATGTATATATATATATATATATATATATATATATATATAGTATATATATATATATATATTATATATATATATATATATATTATATTATATATGTGTGTGTGTGTGTGTGTGTATACATATGCATAAAGACGTACATGCATACATACATACATATATATATATATATATAATATATATATATTATATATATATATATATATATATATATACATATATATATATATATATATATATATATATATATAACGTATATATATATATATATATATATATATAATATATATATATGTATATAGTATATACGTATATATATATATATATATATATATATATATATATATATATATATAATATATATATATATAATATATATATTATATATATATAATATATATATATATATATATATATATATATATATATATATATATATAATATATATATTATATTCCATGTGCTTTATTTTCTTTTTAACTTAATTTATTAGATATTATATTTAATTTTATTATCTCTGATTTTTTTCGAGCATTTTACACTTTTCATCTACTTTTTTATATTTAGTTTTGTTCAATATCTTTATTTTATATTTTACTTCAACTTGAGATTTTTTTCTCTGGTCATATATACAATATATATATATTATATATATATATATATATATATTTATATAATATATATATATATACATATCATATATACATATATATATATTATATAATATTATTATATATATATATATATGTATATATATATATATATATAATATATATATTATATATATATAATATATATAATATATAGAGAGAGAGAGAGAGAGAGAGAGAGAGAGAGAGAGAGAGAGAGAGAGAGACGAGAGATAGAGAGAGAGAATAGATATATATATGTATCTATTTAGTAATAATAATAATAATGATAATAATAATAATCTGGAAAGTGAAGCATGAATTTTTATAAATAAGAAAGATGTACGGTTCGTGACGTAGTTCGTGACGTCACTAACGCTATCAATATCGCCAAAATATATTCAGTCTCGACTTCCTAAACAAAGAGTTAGATTCTGTATTCTGACGCTTGTTTTTTCCGAGGAGCTTGACGTGATCCCTTTTTTTTTATTGATACTTGATTGACATACTGAAACAGAAATTTGTGTTTCATCTTAATTGGTTTATTAACCTGAATAATTCATCAAGTGATTAGAAATCTTCAGAACTTAGTCTTTTGTTTCACATGAAGACTCGTGAAGAGTGACTTTAACTTAGGTTTACATTTCCATGATTTTAAGGTGCATTTACTTACTAAAGGAACCAGTTAATACAGACGAAACCCCAGGATGAAAGGAGGAGTGGATGATTATGCTCGGTCTTTTTTTGTGTGTCTTGATGCTTCATGCTACCACTACACGGCATCTTACGGTGACCCCCCCCCCCCGCCCCCCACAGACACATACTGATAGCCACAGAGCAAAGAACACCTCACGCACACATACATACAGACATCTTCCTCATCCTTTTATTTCAGTTTTGCTTCCTCTCTTCTTCTCTTTCTTTCTTCTACCCATTTCTCCTTTCGTTTCTCTTTTCCAATCTCTCTCGCTCACTCACCCTTCTCATCTCTCTCCCCCCCTCTCCCTCTGTTTCTACGTCTGTCCATCTCTCTCTCTCTCCTTCTTCTTTTCTTTCATCTATTAACGTATGCCATCACAAGAAAAAGAAAGAGAAAAGAGGCAAGAATTGTAAGAAAGAAAAAAAGAATCGTTAAAAAAGAAGAAAGATTATCTGTCTTACGTTATGACTACGTAAACCTTGGTCTTCCAGAATGGTAATTGGATCTTCCATAATATTTCGTATCGTGTTATGATCAGTCCCGCAAATCCGATCGATCTGCCACGCCAAAATGACGATAGTTAATGGAAGAAGCATTAACCAAATAATACCACTTTACGCGAGAAACTCTCCTTTTAGAATATTATTGGAAACGTTACGAACGATGTAAGTTGGACCAGAAATACGTGACTGTTTTTTTTTTTTTTTTTGTTTTTTTTGGTGGTTTAGAGTGATTGTATCTCTTGATTTGGTCGACTCACACAGCCACTCAAATAGCGATCTTATATTGTGTAGGAGTTCCTGGGTGAGAATG